ACACATATATATATATATATATATATATATGTGTGTGTGTGTGTGTGTGTGTGTGTGTGTGATCAGGCCAAGCATTTTCAAAGTGCATTTGAGGAAATTGAGATCCTGGGACCATTTTCAGAAGACTTTCTGGTCTTCATCTGGACCATAGATTAAAGAGAATCTTCTGTCTCATATCAGAGGCCCAGCACAGAGGTGAATTATTTAGGAATCTTCTGAAACAGTGTAGAGAGATCGGTTTGAAGAGATTTGTGGATGGGGTCAGTACAGCAGAACATTATGTATGACCTGAAAAATATCACTTTTTCTCAGAAAATCAATGTTTCTCTTTTTGTACGAAATCTTTTAGCTGTTTTATCAATTTTTTCCTCAGCTCTGGAAGCTCTACTTTTCAAAGGCTAAAATGTATTTAGCGTAGTCAAGGGAAGGAGCAGCATGTTCTGTTGTTTTTCTCTCCTTTGAAATGCACTGAAATGCTTTGAGTTACTTATGCTCTCCTATTACTAGTGGTGTTCACTCTCACTTTGCTCATTTGAACAAACTCCTAAGCCTACTGTAACTTCACCCTCATCATGAATGATGATTACTGCATGAATGATACATGTGCTTTTAGTTTGATAAGTGATTTTCATGGCCATTAACAGAGCAACCACCGAAAACACCACAGAAACCAGATAGCAATTCTCTGACAGGCACTCAGAACACTTTTGAAATTGAAAAGTGTTGTGCTACAGCTTGCAGTTTCAGTTATTCTTCAATAATTCCATTCAAGCACAAGTACTGCTCACTTATACATCTGTGGTGATTTAGTCATTGTGCATTTAAATATGTTTGCTATGTGAGAATCGCTTATTCAGAATAGACTGTAAAAAGTTAATGGTGTGCTTTTTGGGTAAATTTGCTGGATTGTTTAATCAGTGTTCAGAGGCAACATAAGCTTCCCTTTTCCTACCTTTGTTCCATTTCAAGTGTGATTTCTTCAATAAATATGGAAGTATCTGATTAGGAGGCTCTTCAGCTGCTATGTGGTATAAAACAAATGACTCTTATTACTGGTCCCATCCATCTGTCATACTTTTTCTTTTCAGTGTTCAAAATGGCTGTTTGAAACAATAAACGAGTTTATCTGCCTAATTTGCGGTATTTAAGCTTGAGCGAGTCTATTTGGTTGCTGATATGACTCATCTAGCTGGTGTCTGTGTGTAATAATAATGAGAGTGTCAGCCTGGTTATCCGTACAGTGCATAAAGGTCTTTATTTAATGGTGTTTCCTAGGGCTCCGGCATTTCGGAATGTGTATCTTTTAACTGTCTGGTTTTACTCCGGTGAAAAGGTCAATTGGATTCAATTTGGTGTTGGCTGCTGCAATATGGCGCTGATGAAGAAGCACCTTGGCATTTCGAGGCAGTACATTCGTCAGGCAGTTGAAATCAGAATGAAAATCATAGATATTTTTCCTCTTTTTTCTCATATTTGTTCTCTTCATCCCAGGTATCTTCACGAGCACTTGTAACGTGGATGTACGCTGGTTTCCGTTTGACATCCAGAAGTGCGAGCTTAAATTCGGCTCGTGGACATTTGACGGATGGCTGCTGGATCTCCAGATGAATGAGGCTGATATCTCTGGCTACATGCCCAACGGAGAGTGGGATCTTGTGGGTGAGTGAGTAGAGAGGCCTGAGAACTCTTACCTACTGTATAGAACTGAAATGGCTTCAGAATTGGAAAAGAAAATATCCAGCCCATCTTGTTAAATTCATGTCCATTCATATTCATCCGATGAGCCTGTTAGTATTCAAATTAATGTAATTAAATTGAGTGGATAAGAGGAAGCGAACTGGAAAAACATCTTGCACTGCACAATTCTGTCTCTTACTGACTCTCTTCTCATTTGCTTCATTGTGTAATTAGCTATTTTGCTGTGCACATCTGTAATATAATGCCAGTCATTCTCTTGAACTTCTCTTTAACATTTTTACAGAGTGCAACTGTTTACATTGTCTTAACAATACAGCCCTGTTGGAATTAAAACCAGCGGTTCTTTTTTTTAAGGTGTCCTTGTTACAGTGTAATTATACATTTAAGTACTGAGTAATATTAATTAACTACATGTACTTACATTTATACCTTATTAGGGTTTGGCTTAGGGTTACTTGCATGTAATTATGCATAATTAATTGTTATTGTTATAGTAAGTACATGTAACATGTGTAACAAGGCCAAACCAGTTTACGGTTGTGATTTTCTATGTGGTCAGAATTGTTTATTTATGATCAATAACTGGTCCAAGCTGGTTTAGGTTTTTATTTCACTGGATTACAGCCATTATGGATCAATCTGTGACTTGTTGAATGAACTGCTGATTATAGGCTGGTTATAACATCAAGTCAGTTATATAAAATCATAGATTGGTTTCATTTGAGTATATTTTTGACGATTGTAAAAGCCCTTCCACACCAAGAGTGAAATTAATAAGCCTCAGGCTGAAGAAAATGCCTCTGCCTCTGCACTTACTCCCAATTTCTCACGGGGACAGGAAATGTGTCACTGAATAAATAGGAAAACAAAGTAACTTGCATTACTTATTTGAAATCGTAACTCAGATTTTCTTGTTAATTTAAACGTAATGCGTTACTATAGTTCCTTAAAAAATTTAATCTGATTACGCATTATCCTTTACTTGTAATACGTTACCCCAGCACTGAGTAAGATTACTCCTTGCTTAATTGTCAGTTAGTCATACTAGTTTATGTAACTGGTCCCTAATTAAAGCTGGTAGGTGGCTAAGCTGCTCAAGTTGGTTAACCATGCTTTAAAGCAGGGGTTCTCAAACTTTTGGTTAGCCTAAAATATTTACTTGCAGTGCCCAAGAGAATTACTAAATTACTATTTCAATAATTCAATGACACATTTGCATGTTCACAGTAAAAATAGGTTTATTTTGACTTTGTAGCTGGACTTTAAATTGGAAACAAACCTCTTTTTAGTTGTGTTAGTGCCTCAGTCCATTAAATTTACACTAGAAGTTACAATAATAATAATAATTATGTCTTAAATTCTTCACTTTCAAACGTTCAAACCATCAAGCTTTAAACATTTCAAATCCTTGAGCTTTTATTTTGGTGGAATACTGCTGTAAACTTCTGTCCCAAAAAATTGTAAATAAATGTGTAAATAAGTTAACTTATTAAAGATACCAAGCTGCTCGAAGATGCTGAATACATTGGATCATATTGCAATTATCATGCAGCCACAATTATTTCTTTTAACTTTACATTTTGTGTAATTAATTATTAGCTTTTCGTCAACTTGTTCAGTTCCCTCATCAACCCCAGTTTTAGGTCATTTTGTTTCATCATGTTGTTCTAAACCTTTCCTCTTCCGTAGAACATAAAAGGTGTATTTTTGAAGAATGTTCTTGCCGTTTCTTTTCATATAATGACACTGACTACAGAAAATGACACAAAATGCCTTTGGTTTTTCCGTGTCTTGTGACCAAACACAGATGTCAAACCTGATGCAGAATCTAATGGGAAAACATTGAAAAGCTACTGAGATCTTTGGAGATCTCTAATGATGTTCAGACAAAAGGATGATGCTCAGTCGCAGAGAAGAACTTGCTTCTGGCTGGCATCTGCTGATTAGGATGTTGTTTTTCTCTAGTAGATCAAAGGTGGAAGAGCAGCTTCGGCTGCTCTTGAGGACAACAGCATCTCTTTGAACATGAGACCAATCCACAGAAAAAACAAGCACAGGTTTTTTTTTTTTATTATCCTTCCTTCATTATATACTCATTATTTTCCTCACAATCTGTGTATAATCAGGTGTGCCGGGCACAAGAAACGAGCTGTACTATGACTGCTGTAAGGAACCCTACCCAGATGTGACATTTGTGGTGACCATCCGCAGACGGACGCTCTACTATGCCTTAAACCTCCTCGTTCCCTGCGTCCTCCTTTCATCAATGACCTTGCTTATCTTTCTACTGCCTGCCGACTCCGGAGAGAAGATTTCACTAGGTATTATGAAAGATAGACAGAGAAATATATTGACAGCTTGTTGAAGCAGGAAAAAGCAGAGATGGCATCAAATTTAAAGATCTTCTTTTTTGGAGTTAGATTATGTACATGTTTTATAACTAAACATGACTGATTTAGAAGAAAGATGCTGTATATCTTTTGCATATCTCGATTTCAGTGCTGAGGAAAAAATTATTCCACAGGCTTGCCAAGGTCTAGCACAAAACAGAGAGCTGGGACATGCAAAAAAAAAAAAAGTGTGGGTGCTCATTTCATAGATAGCGCCTGATTGTGTCATGTCGAATGAACTCTTGGTTTACATCAAGGGCTTTTATCCACGTTTTTTCCACTCGCTGTCAAGAGACCTTTCCCATCAAAAGATGCAGACAGTTCAAAGAGGAGCAAAAACAGTCACCAGAGATTGAATGGAAAGAATTTTAGATACGTCTGTCAGGAAATGTAAAGAGGCATGAACTCACAGTATATAAGTAGAGGAGAGCGAGAAGATAGAAGCTTAGAGCAACCAAAGAGAATGGAAAAGAGGCAGTTTCCTCAATTCAAGAATGTGTATCACTGCAAGCACGGGAAGGGAAGTGCTTTGCTGTTCACTCATATGGGCAATTAATCTATTGATGTAATTAAAGCAGTGATGAGTCAATGTGTGTAAGAGAGAGAGAGAATGCATCGCACTTTCCAGGAACACGGCCTGCAATATTGAAACATCAGATTCAACAGATGTAGTATCACAAACTAGCTTAAGATAGACCTCAAAAAAGTTCAAGCATAGATTTTATATGTTTTTCTAAAAAGCATATGTTAAAGGAATAATCTAGCAAAAATGAAAGTTTTGTCATCATTTACTCAACCTCATGTCTTCTGTGGAACACAAAGGAAGATATTTTGGAAAATGTTGGTAGCCAAGCGCTTGTAAGCGAGAGGGTATGAGACAGCTCAGCTTTGGTTTAAAAGAGTTCAAAAATATTTGTTATCAGTCAAAACTTAAGGGGGAAAAATAAAGCAGACACTGGACATGGATGAAGCTTTCTAGAGCGCATGTGATGACCACCCACGTTTGCACACAACATCAAATGGAGTATACTTTGGAAGGCTACACGTTCGATTGTACGCATACGCTAGCGTACGCGTACAAAAACAAGGTATATTTGGGTCTTTATACTAAAAGAAATATCTTTTGTGTTTAGTCATACAGGTTTGGAACGACATGAGGGTTAGTAAATATTGAAAATGTAAATTTTTGGGTGGACTACCAACTGAATCAGTGTTTTCGAATGAATGAGATGAGTGAGTGACTCAAAGACTCACTCATTAAGACCACTGTACCACAGTCACTCACTGTAAAAAATATCTGTAAAATATGGCACAATTTACTTTATTAATCTGCAGGAATTTTCCATATAGATTTTTTTACAGGTGTTTTACCTGTTTTTTTATTTATTTTGCACTCCAGTGTTTTTTAATAAACAGTGCTAATTTTATTCCTAAATGAATCAGTGTTTTTGAATGAATCGGATCATAGATGACTCAGTGACTCGCTTATTAAGACATCACTCAGTGTTTTTGAATGAATCATTTGAATGAACAGTTCAGTGACTCATAAATCACTTGTTGTCACCTACTGACAGTTACTGAAAAATCCCCACCATTAATGCACAGGCTGTAATACAAGGTAATGCAAACAGTAAAAGGTCCAATAATTGTGTTCAATTAATCAGCATATAACAAAATGTATTAATTTTACATTTTAATGGTAGCCCTGATGTAAAGCCAAGAGTGTTTTTTTTATGAATCCAGTTAGTCTCATTTGGTGGAGTATTTGTGACAATAATTTTATTGAGTGTTCATTATGCCAAGATAGCACTTATAAATCTAAGCAAAAAAACATATGTAAGAGGAAGGAGGCCGAGTGAGAGAGCGGAAGCAGATTTAAACAGCAGATAGAGATGGATGAATTGTGTGTGTCGGGGGGAGAGAGGAGGGAGAAATGGATAGCAGCCGGAGAGGGAGGGAGATGACTTGAACTGAACTAAAGAGCAATTGAGGAAGAGAAATGGCCTGATATAATTCACTTTATGTATCACTCCATCAAGCCCTGCACTGCCGTCCAATCAGATCCAATCAAATTCTGTCAAGATGAGTTACATCCAATAAGAAGCTGTGTTTGGGCATCTTATGTAGTGCCAATGTTGCACATAACTAGAGATGCTGTATAACTACGCATTTATTTTAGTGGTCGACTGCTATTGGTTTTTCAGTGGCAGATGCTAATATCTACACTGCCGGGCTGGAGATTTAATGCCAATGAATAGAAAAATAAATATTATTTATAATATAATATATATACTACCATTTGTAGACATGACATAGTAATACAGCATATGATTTATAGTAATAAGAGATACAAAAATGAGCTCAGATTATATAAACTTTAATTTCATAGTTTAATGAAGCAATTGAAAATGAAACAATTTAAAAAATACATATCTAAAAATGTCCAAATACTGACCAATTCATTGACCTGGACCAGTCAACATTTAATATCTTGTTATATGTGTATAATTCATTATGCAATTACATGTATGTTTCATGCAGTCCATTTCTTTTTGTTTTATACCTATTCACAGGTATTACTGTGCTACTCTCATTAACAGTCTTCATGTTATTGGTGGCAGAAATCATGCCAGCAACCTCAGACTCCATCCCGCTAATAGGTAAAGCATGCATGTCTGTGTTGGTGAATATTTTAACATTTTAAAGGAATTGTTTATCTAAATTTGCTGCAAAAAGGTACTCGCCCTCAGGCCATCCAAGATGTCCAAGATTTAGTTTCTTCAACAGAACAGATTTGGAGAAATTTAGCATTACATCACTTTCTCACCAATGGATCCTCTGCAGTGAATGGGTGCCATCAGAATGAGAGTCCAAACAGCTGATAAAAACATCACAATAACCCATAAGTAATCCACATGACTTCAGTCCGTCAGATACCATCTTGTGAAGTGAAAAGTTGATCGTTTGTAAGGAACAAATCAATCATTAAGACGTTTGGCTTCCAGCTAAAATACAAGTTGTCTCAAGTTGAAAAGTTGTCTCATCCGAATCAGGAGAGAAATATGTGCAAGCATCGTTTACAAGCAAACACAGACCAAAACAGTTATAAATAGATGTCAGTGGATTTTGATGTAGGAGGAGAACAGGGGATGAACTTTTTCACTGAAGGAAATGTTATTAGCGATGATGGACTTGTATTTTCAGCAGAAGTGGTGGTTTAAAGTTAAAATGTCTTAATGATGGATTTGTTTTTGTTTTTACAAACACACAGCTTTTCACTTCACAAGATGGTAATTGATGGACTGGAGTCGTGTGTATTACTTGTGGAATATTGTGATGTTTTTATCAGCTGTTGGAACTCTCATTCTGACGGCACCCATTCACTGCAAAGGATCAGTTTAGTAAACAAGTGATGTAATGCTAAATTTCTCCAAATCTGTTCTCATTAAGTAACAAACTTATTTACATCTTGGATTTTCAATTTTTGGGTGAACTATTCCTATAGTATGTTTCATACAGTATGTTTCAGTATTTCAGCATGTATCCCTCTTAGTTCTTTTGCAAATGACAACACAGGGCTCTTTGAATATATTAGAGTCTTCATTCAAGCCTTTGATCTTATTGTTAATGATATGTAAAATTTAGTGCATAAGGATGTATATTTTACATGTGCTGAGATGCACACATTGCACCACTGAAGAATAAATTGATCACCATTCTGTATCACGGCCAAAAGCCCTGGTCTTGGCAACCATACGCTTGGCTTCTCATGGTAATTTGCAACATGAATCGTAAAAGACCGCTAACTGGAAATGATGAGCAGGTCAGGAGAGAGAAGAAGCAGGAGAAAAATAAAAATGAAACCGACCTGGAGTGAAGATGATCCTCCAGAAAAATAAAAACAGTCCGCACCACATTCTCTTTTCCCGCCCTCTGGTTTATAGGCCCTCAGAAGCCGCAAAGATGTAATCTGCAGAAATGCGTTTGCTGGAAGAGTGTTCACCCACAGAGCTTTGTCTCTCCTGTCTGCTTCCCCCTCTCCTTTATGATTGAGTTTTTATGGTTCACTCAGCTGTTCCACATTCTGCCTGCCTTCCCCGCGTCACTCTTTTATAATCAATGCCCCTTTTTTGTTACATTCGCCCTGGTTTTTACTAGCATGACTGGATGATAAAAGGCTATTCTGCTAAGAGAGTAATAAATGAAAGGTTTATGCATACTTTTCTCTCTTTGTTTCTCTCTCAGGACAGTATTTTGCCAGTATAATGATCATTGTTGGAATGTCAGTTATTGCGACAGTGGTTGTGCTCCAATATCACCATCATGACCCCAACGGAGGGAACATGCCCAAATGGGTACGTCTATTCACACACAAACACTATAACACAATCAATACCCTGATTCACAAATGCAAGCAGCAGCATCTCTCATGTCAGTTGCATTGAAAGCAGTAATCTACTTATTCAATGACAATGGAGATAAAGCCAACAGAAGGGGACTAAATGAGTAAATAGGATGCAGATGGATATAGATCTGAGATCTGTCGGCGCTGATGAATGACTGTATTTGAGCGTTCTGCAAGCCAATTAGCAGGTCAGCTGATGTGCCCCGGTCCAGCTGATCGAACCCCATTCACTTACAAAGCCAAATGCAACAACAAGAGAAAGCTGACAGGTGTATTTACTCAATGAGACTGACATCAATTCTGCGTCACAACTGGATTTTTACGTGCTTCTTAAAAACAATGATATAATACACTACTGTTCAAATGTTTGGGGTTGGGAAGGTTTTTGAAAGATCTCTTTTATGCCCACCAAGGCTGCATACATTGTGTATTACAGTTTCAAACAACTGTTTTCTATCTGAATATAATTCAAAATGTAGCTATTTTTTCCTGTGATTTTCAACAGCCAGTTTTCAGTGTCACATGATGCCTCAGAAAGCATTTTAATATGCTGATTTGGTGATAGATATATATATATATGAAACATTTCTTACATTGCAAATGTTTTAATGTTGAAAATAGCTGTGCTGCTTTATATTTTTGTGAAAACCATGATGCATTTTTTTCAGGATTCCTTGAGTAGAAAGATGAACAGCATTTATTTGAAATATAATTATTTTGTAACATTCATGTATTTACTGTCACGTTTGATGAATTGAAAGCGTCTTTGCTAAGAAAAAGTATTATTTCAATGGTAGTGTATGTGTTAGGGTTAGGGTGGCCATATGTGCCGTTCATACGGGACACGTCCTAGTCAGGATTTTTATATTGCCTAAAACATCCAAAGTAGTTTGACCAATAACATGTAGGTATTGTATATATTTGACCAATCCTAGCGCGTGAGAAGGTGAGAGCTACAGAGAACGATCAAAGCGATGCAAATACGCGCACGTGTTTGTTCGTTCGTGCGCACCGATCATTTTATAACACCAAAGTACTGCGAGAGCGATTCGAAAGCATAAGGATCCGTCTGCTCTGCTCCCAATAGCTCTCGTGAATGTCATACAACGATTGATCTGCACAGTGCAAACAGCCAAAACCTAAATATTTTAGGCAATATAGAAATCCCGTACAAATGGCCCGTATGTTCACCCTAGTTAGGGTGGCCTCAAATGGCTCAAATCTCAATGATTTTCTGGCCGTTAGACATGACTTCTGTCTTCCTTAAATGTAAGTCTATGGAATTTTTTAGCTGCTGGACAAAAATTGTGTGCCTCACTGCTTATAAAAGTAATAGCACATTTCAATTTGAGGATTAATAATTAATACTAAGGTTAGAGGTTTATTTAATCTCTAACTCAAAGTATGAGCAATAATAATTAGTGGCACACTTGCCTGAGCACAACGTCCTAGGATCCTATCCTGGGATCAGCTTTTAGCAACATTCACACCCAATGCACAACGTGTAGTTATTGAAAATGTCTGCCAGAGCCATGGCTCAAAGGTGCTGAAAAAGAAAACCCTCTTTATCTGAACAACCGGGAAAAAGCAACGCTTACATAACAGCAATGGTAGTTATCTTACAATCTAAAGAGCTAAAAAGAGATACAGTTCAGAAGAAGATGCTAAAAGGTGGATAGTGATCAGGGAAAGATGTTGTTGTGATGCTTGTCAAACCCTCAAGGGCAAACACACACCTCAACTGTGTAGAGTGTCTTGGTAATGTCTGTTTTTTCATTATATATTCTGCAAAGTTTTTGATATTGCACTAGTTGCACTGCTGTTGTTAATGATAGCCAAACATGCATTGTGTGATCTTTTAATACACCAAAATGTGTGAAGATGCCAAAAAAGGACCTAGTTGCTTAAACTGCAGTTTTTCTGTCGATGAAAGCATTGCCAACCCCACTAGTCGTACATTTTGCCATGCTTTATGCCTCTCCTTGGCCAGGACTCGGCAGTGCAACTGAATAATTCTAACTTGTCATCTCTTTATCTCTCTCTGCGTCATAGTCCTTGCTGTCATATGTTGCTCTACAACTCCTTTCCTTCCAAAACCTTTCCCCTCTTGACTCAGCAGACGCTATCTGAAAAAAAAAATATTTGCAATGGATTATTTTACTTTATTTGTTGTTCAGACAGTGCTGTATAACCTTTTGTTTAGACTGTACGTGTAGAGCATATGTAGTAAATATAGTTCAAAACGGCTTGACATGCTGCTGTGAAACGCATGCTTCCTCTTACATAAATACATAAAATTATCAGCTTGCACATTGGATTTTACTTTTAATATTCAAATCTAATGTTGTTTACTGAGAAAGCAGGATATGGGTAAAATTGGATTCAGTTTTAAAAGTTGGTACTGTAGGGAAATTAGGAAGATTTGAGATTTATATAAAGAAATTATTCTTAACTTGGTATCTCCAAATATATATATATATATATAATACCAATTACACTGTTTTATTAATTCAGTTTTGAATAAATTATCCTTACAGCATCCACAACTAGCAACACTGGAATGAGTAGCACTAAGAAACACATATAGTTCAAGGTGACTTTTATTTATCATACATTTTTGAATAAGTATTGATTATAAAAGAGTAGCATTGAGTGAGGATTTAAAATCAGTAGACATAAATCTGATGTACTTTTTTAAATATAAAATATGAGGATTATTATAACCAATACACACACACACATATTCTTTTCTATATAAGGATATACGTTATATTTATTATATAGTTATATATATATGTTAAATAGTGTATTTAATCACTCAGTGTTCAAAATTTGAAGCATTAAAGGGATAGTTCACCCAAAAAATACAATTCTATCATTAATTACTCACCCTCATGCCGTTCCAAACCTGTAAGACCTTCATTTTTGGAACACAAATTAAGATATTTTTGATGAAATCTGAGAGCTTTCTGACCCTGCATAGACAGCAATACAACTGAAATGTTCCCAAGACCAGAAACATAGCAAAGAGATCGGTAAAATAATCCATGTGACATCAGAGGTTCAACTGTAATTTTACGAAGCTACGAGAATACTTTTTGTGCACAAATAAAACAAAAATAATGACTTAATTCAACAAATTTTCTCCTCCTCATCCCATCTGTGAGTAATTAATTACAGAATTTTCATTTTTTGGGTGAGCTATCACTTTCAATAATCATAAAACCAACAAATAAAAAAAGTGTGTTAAATGTTTCTACACTACAATTGCATAATCTCTTATACACATTCCTTCGTGTTCATCTGCCTTCTCTTAGGTTCAGATAGTCCTGCTCCAGTGGGTGGCATGGTTTTTGCGTATGAAGCGTCCTGGTGAGAGTGAAGACCCTGAGCGTCCTCCTTGTGCCCCTCACTTAAGACGTTGCTCTTCAGGTTCCCAGAGCGGCAGCCTCCCAAACGCACCTGGTTCTACCTCTGCAGACCTGCACCACCACCACCACACATCCTCTACGCTACACCCGCTTCATCCCCAAAGCCTCTTTCAAGCCGCGGCGGCCGCTGGCCACACCCACCATCTTCACAATCAGACCAACAGTGCCAACATCAATGGCAACCTGCTTTACATCGGGTTCTCCAGTCTCGACGAAGCTTCGCCACCATCCTTGCTCGCCGAATCTGTGCAAAGAAACAGCATGTCGGGCGGCCCACGTCCTGCAGTGGTTTCACCTCCAGCAATAGGATCCAGCCCACCACCTCACCTGCCCTCACAGTTCTGCAGCCCTCCACCGCCTCCCACTCCCAATCTGGAGGCCACGGGTTGTCCGAGCACAGTGTCTGGCGGCGGCGGAGGCTGTTCTTGCTCGGGGACCAGTGGCGGAGGAGACCCACAGCTTCAGGCTATTTTAGAAGAGGTGCGATACGTTGCTGATAGGTTCCGCGGACAGGATGAGAACGACAGCATGGCCGAACAGTGGAAGTTTGCTGCAGCCGTAATCGACCGACTTTGTCTGGTGGCATTCAGTGTTTTCAACATCATCTGCACCATCTCCATTCTTATGTCAGCACCTAACTTTGTGGAGGCAGTTTCCAAGGACTTCATCTGATTGCTTTGTTGTAAAAGAACGTGCATTCGGGAAACTTGGGTTTGACAGTGAATGGGGAATATTCATCTCCCTAAAACAATGACTTAGCTTTTTTTTCCAAGAATGTGTTTGGAATAATGCAGAATCTTGAGGTCTGGATCGAGAACGCTTCTGATTGGACATTTAAGGCTCACTCAGACATCTCAAACTGAACTATAATGTTGGTGGAACGCTGAAGACCTTCACCGCAAGGTGTCTGTAAATGACAATCGGGTTGGTTCACTATATGGTAAAATGTTCGGAAATGGAATGAATGAAAACCTAAACATAAAAAGTGAAATACTGATTATTGACCTTCTAACGGTGTCGAAAGCCTCATAACCTGAACCTCTGAGGAACGGCCAGTAAAATATTACTCAAACTTGTGTGACATTGTACATCTTACATCTAGCACAGTGCAAAACTTCTCTAAGATGTCAAAATCTATTTTGGTAACGTTCATCTACGGGAAGGCAAGGAGAGAGGGAGGGAAGAGCAGAAGAGACAGAGAGAAATATTGATAATAGTGGCAGACGTGAGGTGAATGGTTCACATGAAGCCAGATCAAAAACTCTCATCTTAAAAAATGAAAAAGGCACTTGTTTCAAGGACAGATAGGCGATTTGGAGAACTGCTAGAGGGTTTGAGTGATTCAGATAATAGAGAGATACAGAAGAAGTGAAAGATGGAATACCCCTCTGACGTGGACAGAGATGTAGACCGATGGAGAGATTAGGGCCTCACAAGATGACGAGGCAAGAGCAGAACAAGGGTAATGAAAGACAAAATGAGACAGAGTGTATTAGAGAAAGAGACACAGTCAGCGCAAAATGAGAGAAGGATAGGCTGAAGAAGTGGTTTAGACAAGTGGATAAGAAAATGAAAGAGTGATAGGGGAATTAGAGAGGGATGGACAGAAACAGACAGAGAAGGTGGTCGGGGGGTAAGTGAGACTCAGCAACATTTACTGGCAAGAGGAAGAATGGCATCGCAGCTTGAGAGAAATAGCGCATCATGCCCCAAAAAAGCCAAACAGTGAGTGCATCCGTCACAAAACAGATGAGGAGAGAAAAACATACTGCGGATTGGAAGTGGGAGAGAGTGTGGGAAGAAAGGCTAATAATCCCCTGAGACATACTGGAGAAATGGCACAAAGACAGTGGAGACATGGGTGGAATCTCCTTTCCTCTCTTCCATCATCTCTGTGAAATGACAGACAGTGTGAGGTGTTCAGAGATGATCCTATGAATATCTAAGTAGGAGCAGAGTCACAACCACAGTAACTGTGCCCAGGTAAATCTCTCTTTCTTGCTCTGTTTTTCCCACTTACACATACAGTGTCTTACAAATGTTTGGAAACGCCTTGGGTAAAGTGGGGTTTTGCACAATATCAGCATAAATCCTTACCATTTTGTGATGAGTTTGCATTGATAAGAGACTACACAATCCTTTTAGTAAATAAAATATTAACGTATCCAGAACATACGTGAGCTGTTGTAACCTGTTTTGTGATTGGTCTGTTAATCAATCCTTAAAGTGTGCAGACCAAATAATCTTCAAAAAAGAAACCTAGGCCAGTTAAATCCAGTAAAAAAGCACCACAATCTAACTCTGATGAGTATTTATTTACATTATGTAATCCAAAAATCACTTTTACTGATAGTTACTTTAATGCTATCATTCTAAGAAATTATTTGTGCTGACATTGTTCAAAGCCGACTGGGGGCTGTTTTCATATCCATTGTTCTGCTTGTCCATAGTTTTCTATGAAAACATGCACTAGATGGATGTTTCACTGCTGCGTTTGCGTCTCATGTCTTTCGCGCCGTCTTACGCATGAACGGTTCTAGGTCTTGTTTTTTTTCTACTACCCTGCATCTCATGAACACATTCTGTGTGAATGAGTTAGCATGTTTTCAAACTTTTGTAGGGCACTGTACAACCAATGAACATTAAGCAGAATATTACCATTTCAGTTGGCTTGTCAGTAATTCTTGGCATTTAAAGATCGTTTCCAAACAGGTTGCCTATCCATTCCCCCAATCTGCCATTGTTTGAGCAAACAGGTAGTCAACCCAAAATCCATATCATTAAGCCAGTCTGTCCATTTGAGGGGCTCAGGAAATTATTTAAAATCAGTGCACTTTGTTGCCATATTGTTATCAGCTATGTCCAGCCATGTAAGTACAGTTCTATACTAAATGGGGAACAACCAAAACCTCTTAAACTGTTGGTCAGTGTTATGATGTCTGGTATCATAAATTGAAAATAAATTCTTCAGCTAAAATCATGCAAAATATGTATTGTTCAGATTCACAAGTCCATATCTATGAGTAATCAAACAGGAGATGCCTCTAAAAACTTGACTGGCTGTTTTAACTGAGTCTATCCGCCTTATTGATCATTACAAAAACTCCTGATCATTGGAAAGCAATGTAAGCTGAGGTACGTCTTCAGGCAAACCAGTTTTTGCAGTTGGGATTGTTGATGCTAGTGGTGTAGAAATGACTCCGCTGAACAAGTTGTAAATAACCGTGGCTGTTTCTTTGAAGGTTGAGTGGCTATAGTTGAGTTTGATAGAAAACAAGGCTATTGTGTTGTTGAATTAATTCTTGCTATGTGATTTACTGGGCCTGGCAATTCACAGAAAAACAGAAATAGAGTTGCAGATGAACAATTCACAGTGAAGGTCTTCAGAGGAATGACTGAAGCATATTGTGGTTTCGCACTAAATAGACAGTATACCGTTTCAAATCTGCCTTTAGGCCAGTACATCTTTCAGGTGAATTATGATGATAAACCAGATGGAAAACTTTTTTCTGTGAAACATTTCTGGTGACAGCACATATTGCAAGTACTACTTTATTGCTACTGTCATTATAGCAATTAGTGGTTGTTACGGTATTAATTAAAGTTCATCCAAAAAGGTACACGCTGCCAAAAGATTGCTGCTGCTCGCTGTGCTCTTATGAAATGCCAGCCATCTCGTCTTAATGGGGGACCAAGCAAATTACTTTCAAATTTCTCTCTCTCTTTCTCTCTCTCAGATGCAGACACAAACCATTTCCCATCTTTGAATAAAGTATTCTTTTCTAATATGCAGTCTGTGCTTCGTCATTTCATGGCTAGCGGAAGCTTAAATAAGGAAAATGATAAGAGCTGAAAATAAGAGCGGGAAATGTGTGACATTGCTGATGCAGAATGAGAGACGAGTAGGCCTGTTATTTTTAAATGTCATTTTTAATTTCCTAAATTTAAATGAATATAGAAGCAGGTTGTCTAAACAAGCGATAAATTGCAAAGCTCATGTCAGAGTTTGAAAATACATACTTTGTCTTTCAGTAATGATGTAATATGCAATTCTGAGTTTGTTTCTTACGCAACATGATGCATCGCAGTGTGCACTATATCGTATCGTGAGTTACGTGAGCTACTGGAGCAGACAAATAAGAAATCTAGATCTCTAAACAGACAGAGATGGGGAAATGCTGACGTGTGGTCCCGGCTGCACAGGGTTTTAATTGATCACTCGTTCATGAAGGAGGGATGGAGCGAGGGAGGGGTGAAAGTTAATGGTGGGGAGAGAGGGCAGCGTCTCAGCCCCTGGGTGGATTTACGAGGGAAAGCACTCGCGCATCTCATACACCGCCCCCAAAACTGCCTGAACTGCCAAAACACTACAAACAAAATGTTATAAACTACAATGACCTGTAATTCAATAAGAGATTATTAGATTCTGATGCAATTATGTTAAAATCAAGGCCAATTAAGATCACAAATACATGAACAATGCTTTTTACTTCTATATTGTGATGAATTTCAGGCTAAAACAGGATATTTTAAAGAGAAAAATGGCTAGATGTTATATGGAAGGATGTATTAAGGAAGTAAACAGGCTCGAATTTTATTTCATATTTCTTTAATAAAATGTATTTATAAATTAAACATTATGAATTAATATCAAAGTGTGGATGAATCTGTAAATTTAAACGTAAATGTTAAGGTTGTTGTCAAAATAGTAATTTCACTAAAACTTATGTGACAGTAAATTTTGCGATTGACGGGAGTAAATTAAGTTTCTACGATTATGATTTGAGCTGTTAAACTTTCATTCACAAATGTCTGTTTTGTTATAATACCGTTTCTAACCAAAATGCTGATGATTTGACACCATTTTCAGAGTGCTGGGCTAAAAATGCCATTTTAGAAAAGTACATGTCAATTGCAATTTTGACATTATGACGATACATCCACACAGAGTTGAGCGTTTAAGAAATTCTATATAGCTCAATTTCCTATCCCAACATGCACTAAGGCTCTCAGTCAGTGCATCAATGAATAAAGATTGCGTGTGTCTGCCATTACTGCAGCAGCCATGGCTCGTCTGCCAGAGTAATTCACTCGCCTCTCTCCGTGAATGTGCTGCGCTGGCACATTGACTTGTCCAGATTTACCGTGCTCACTCAGATGGAGAAAAAGAGGATATAGGGGAATAAGAGTGGGTGTGTGTGGCAAATAAAGGTGATGGCACACGTTTTTGCAGAGATATGCCAGAGATGATGATTGTGTGTATGAGCCGGAGAAGGACAGAGCTAGTCTTGTGTGAAGGTAAAACTAGTGTGGATTTGAGCATGAATGACGACATTGTGGTTATTAGATTGATAGATTGGCTTCTCAGTGTGTAAGATATAAAGAGTTGAATGTAACTGTAAAGATCTATATGTTTTAAAACTACACGTGTCCTGTAAATGGGAATGAGGGCTCAAAATGGTGCGACAATGTGTGAAATGAAATTCTTAATGAGCCGTAAATACATAAAGTCAGTTTAAAATCAGATAAATTTGTCTTTATCAGGTAAGAGGGTAACAGGGTGGAAGCATGTTGATAACAAGCAATCTGCTCTCAAGAAAGGCAGCAATATTTGAAGATGCATGAATATTTACTCTCTAAATTTGTTAATGGTCTGTTCTTTTTTTCAGTGTCATTCATTGTCCCT